ACTGTGTTGAATGCATCTACACAATTGGTTACCTCTTTGGAAAATTCGATCAAGCTGGTCAGACGTGACCTTCCCTTTACGAAACCATGCTGACTATTATTGATTAATCCTGACCTCTCCAGGTACAGATTAGTTCTGTCCCACAGAACTGCTTTCAATAGTTTCCCCACTACTGAGGTTAGGCTGATTGGATTGTCGTTTCCTGGCTTATCCCTTGCTCCCTTCTTGGATAACAGCACTAAATTGGCTGTCCTCCGGTCCTCCAGCACCTCTCCTATGGCCAGGGAGGAAATGAAAATTATTACCAATGCCCTGGCTATTTTCTCCTTTGCTTCACTCAAATGCCTGCGATATATTTCATCCAACCCAGAAGATCTATCTATGTTTAAGTCTGCCATACCACTAAGAACCGCCCCTCTTTTATGCTAATTTCTCACCCTATTTGTAAATCCACATCATCCCTCCATTAGTAAGCATTAACACAAGGTATTTATTTACCATAAGACCACAAGACATAGGAGCAGAAATTAGGCCATTCGGCCTATCGAGTCTGCTCTGCCATTCAATCATGGCTGATAAGTTCCTCAACCCCATTCTCATGCTTTCTCCCCATAACCCTTGATCCCCTTGATAATCAAGAACCTATCTATTTCAGTCTTAAATGTACTCAATGATCTTGCCTCCACAGCCTTCTGTGGCAGTGAATTCCATAGATTCACCACACTCTGGCTGAAGAAGTTTCTCCTTATCTTCGTTCTAAAAGGTCTTCCCTTTACTCTAAGGCTGTGCCCTCAGGTCCTAGTCTCTCCTACCAATGGAAGCATCTTCCCATCATCCATTTTGTCCAGGTCATTCAGTATTCTGAAAGTTTCAATTAGATCCCCCCTCATTCTTCTAAACTCCAATGAGTAGAGTCCCAGAGTCCTCAAATGTTCTTCATATGTTAAGCTTTCCATTCCTGGGACCATTCTCGTGAACCCCTTCTGAACCCGCTCCAGGGCCAGTACATCCTTCCTGAGATATGGGGCCCAAAACTGCACACAATACTCCAAATGTGGCTTGACCAGGACCTTATAAAGCCGCAGGTGTACATCCCTGCCTCCGTCCTCTTGCTCTCTGTGGTTCTTAATGGAGCTATTCATTGTCTAGTTATCTTTTTATCCTTAATGTACTTGTAAAATAACTTAGAGTTTGCATTCATTTTACCTGCCATTATTCTTTTGTGCCCCTCTTTTTCTGCGTGTTTACATCAAGCATTGAATTCAATAGGAATGGGCTGAATAACTCTGGAAAAGCTGAAGATTTGTTTAAAACAAATACGGTAAATCAGATTGATAATATGGACTATTCATTAGCTGAATTTGAAACTGTATGAAATTGTGCTATGTAAATATCATACGGTTGATTAGATGACATAAAAGTGGTAAACAGCAAGCACGAGCTAAAGTTTTATGTCAAAGTTCATTAAGGGCAAGAGATAAGCATCTTTGCAAAAAAAAGACACTAACAGGTCTTAATGAGTTAATTGATAAGCCAACATGGGAAACATGACACATTTGTGATGTTTGTCAGTGGTCCAATTGATCATTTTCTGGCAACTGGCTAGCATTAAAAGATCTGATTGCATAGCTTCATTATGTGGAAAATGTATAAAGCAGCCTGCCTCACAAAAGAAAATTTAGTTACTTTTGGGAGGTTGTCTGATCAATAGCTAGAGGTTGAGATGGAGTAGTCTGATCATCTGTTCTGGTCTGATCTGATCTTTGGAGAAGTCCACATGAAAGGGTTTCACTTGTAATTGTAGGCATTACATGAGTAAGATTATTGTAATACTTATTGTGGTTATCTTTGTCTTAATTAAGAGCATTGGGTATATTGCATTCTTGCAAATGTCTTGGGTTATTGATAACCAGAGTAAACCTGACAGGTCAGGGAAATTGGCAATAAAGGCCCACAATGTTGAATTGGAAACCAACTGACACAAAATCATTAATGAGAAACTCAACCAAATATGGATCAGTGATTTACTTCTATTTTTTAAAACTGCTGTTCTGTACTCACTGCTCATGATGCAGTCTTCTCTATACAGGAGGCCAAAAGCATTTAGGGTGTTCACTGCACTGAAACCCTCTATTCAAGCCTGACTCTGAGCTTCTGGTCATTTTAATTCTATATTCCACTCTGTCCTCAATCTCCTATGCTGTTCTTATGAACCTCAATCGAAACCTGGGCAATAGAACCTTATCCGTAGATTAAGCACTTTACAACATTTCAAACACAACATCAAGTTTGGCATTTCAGATCAAAAAGCACTGCTCCCATTTTTTTCAGACAGCAGCTGATGATAAGAAGCCTGTTGGTCATTCAATCGTTTCTATTTTCTACCCTAGCACAGACCCTCCTTTTCCTCCCTCCTCTTTTTCTGCATTTGTACTTGCTTAAAATCTGGCACATCTACAACTTTTATTTACTTTTGGTGAAAGCCTTGAAATGATAACAATGATTATCTCTTCACAGAGGTTGCCTGGACTGCTGAGTGCTTCTATTATTTTCTGTTTGTATTTCCAATTTTCAGCACTTACAGTATTTTGCTTTTGCATTAAAGAATATAACTATAATCTGATAACAGAATTCTAATATCAGAATATAATCTAACAACAGAATAACACTAAGTTGCAACAGTAATGTTGACAAAAGCTGCTTGAACGAACTGAGAAAGTTTTAATAGGTATGAGCTACATGTTGGGGCAATAGTAATTTAAACAGCAAAACAAAGGCTAATTTTTTCAACATGCAAGAGATCAACAAATGTACTGATATTGATCAGAAAAAAAGTGCAAAAGCTCTTTGCACCACTCAGTTTCCTTCAAGTGGACTGCTTTTTTTCGGTATAGAGGATGACTGGCAAAAGAGATCATACCTAAGTCATAGATACGCATGGTTTGGCAACTTTCGGATTTTCATTCTCTAGTAATCCAATAATTTAGCCGTAAATTTACAATACATATTTTAATTAAAAATTATCTAGACCTTGGACCAAGGTACGAAAATAAGCATCCAAATTACAGCAAAACAAATACATCATAATTTACGTGTACAGAAAGTAATTATTAAAGCTATTAGAGTACGAGTTATTTGTATCAAAACAGACAAAGAAATAGTAGGAACTGCAGATGCTGGAGAATCTGAGATAACAAGGTGTAGAGCTGGATGAACACAGCAGGCCAGGCAGCATCAGAGGAGCAGGAAGAACGTCAGCCTTCCTGCTCCTCTGATGCTACCTAGACAAAGAAATAGCTCAGTTTCATGATTGTTTTAGATTATTTTGGCGATATAATGGCACATTGTAGTCTCCATCAGTGCTGTAAACTTTTATAAATTTAGAAGAAATCACTAGAACTGTGGTGCATAGATTACAACAGGACTTAAAGTTAATCGAGCCTTATGGACTAATTATGTAATGCATACCTTTAAGTGTTTTTAACAGATGTGAATTTATAGGTTTGCTATCTTGTCAATTTACTTTACCATAATAAGATGGTTATTCACTAGGTTAGTTTCAATGCTATTAACACTTCAATTAGTTGTGAAAACATTTAGATAAATTAGCATCCTTCCATTTCAATGGTTACCAGAAACACCTGAAAAAAAACCAAATCATGACTGCTTCTGCAATGAGTGCTGAGATGGGTGACCCCATTGGTGAGCCATTGATCTGTTTGTATACTTGACCATTAAAGACAAAATGTGTGGTGGGGCACGGGTCTAGTAGTTTGAGTATGTTGTCATTGCTGGTGGAGCTGCTGGTCTATGTTCCTGTTTCCTCCAGTAATGTGGCCAGCGTTTCTTTGGCTAGCAGGATGTTGATTGATGTGAATAAAGCAGTGGCGTCAAAGGATACCCTAATCTTGTCATTGCCGATTTTTACGTTCTTGAGGGTATTGAGGAATTCTTGGGTTGAGTGGATGGAATGGGGTGATCCGTTGACTGGGTGTTTCAGTCTCTGTTGTAGGTTCTTGGCCAGTTTGTGTGAAGTTTTAATGGTCTCACCCACAACCCGAACTACAAATCTTTGCTAAAACTTGAAATGGCATGAATGTTATTTGCCACTTATCAGCCCAAGCCCGAACATTGTTTAAGTCTTTCTGCAACTGAACATATACTGCTTCAGCATCTGAGGAGTTACGAATCACACTGAATATTCTACAATCATCAGCAGCCATCCTCATTTCTGATCTTATGACAGAGCGAAGGGCATTGATGAAGCAGCTGAAGAGGGTGGGCCTAGGATACTATCCTGAGGAATCACTGTTGCAATGTCCTGGAGCTCAGATGACTGACCTCCACCAACCACAATCATTTTCCTTTGGGCCAGATGTGCTTCTAACCAGCATTGGAGACAAGTTAGATTTTATTTTGGAATACCTCAATCATCAATTCTCAGCTACAATTCTAAGACTAGTGAGTGTCTCTCATTATTTTTACACTTTTAGAAGTGCAAGCTTAACCACAAACATACAGAGGAAATTTCCTCGACAAAATAGGAACTAAAACCTTGATTCATGAGACCAATCCCAAATGATTTGAAAAGAAACTAGGGATTCCATCTGTTAAATTTTACAAAAGGATCATCAACTGCTGCTGAGGAGAAAGGTTTCCATTCACATGAAAGTATGATTGATACAGACCATATCCAAAGGAATTGGATTGAAGGGATTAATTTTTCATCTGTTTATATTCATCTCTTTCAAGTGTTCAATCAAGAATATTGATGAGTGTAGGTCAACAGTATTAAAATACAAATGGTATGTTATCCTAGGGTAATGATATAATCTCGCAAAGACCTGAGAGAATCCCCTAAAATGAACAAACAACTAATTATATATTTAATTAACATGAAAATGAGCCTAAAAAGCTTCATGATCTTACCCTTTGTTTGGCATTTGCTTAAAATGTGAAAACTCCACCTTTTGATGAGAGTGATTATTGAAAGGACTTACCATATCTTTTCGTCCACCCATTGATTTGCTGTGAGACCGTGAACGAGAGATTGTATTAAAGAATGAATCTTTTTTTGCAGTAGAAAAGGGAGGCGATGCTGTGTTATCTTTTGCAGTAGGCAAACTTTCAGTACTTGGCGAGGAACTAACATGAGTGGCACCATGACCTACAACAAATTGTTTAAAGGAACAAACATTACCAGAGATTTCATGATGTGTGCTTCAAAGGTCTTTTTGTCCAGTTCTGCATTAGTACAATACTGTGAAATTTATTCACGTTATTTCCCAGACTGTTTACAATGATGATGGAAAACATGCCATAAATATATTTTATACATATATCTGAATGATTCGTAACAGTGAATATTCCAAGGTATGGACTCACCATTTCATAATTTCCAAATGAAATGTGCATTTTAATTCCATTACAGTTCAAATTATGGAACATAGTTCTTTTAACTACTAGCTATTGACTTCACCAGTTTTCTCATTATTAAAATATGGAAGTGGCATTTGATAGGTTTACAGTAAGGTTCAATGTACAAAGTAGGTAAGATTTCATTTCTACAATCTAGACTTCTTACATAAATTGTCCATATGCGTTGGTACGTGAAAATGACTGATTTGGAATTGCTGACACAGCATCATGTGCCATTCTATAATCAGTCATTAGTGTATAAAATAACACAAGGATTTAGTACATGCTGTAATAAAATCAGGTATTACATTTAAAAAGCAACTGCTTACTGAGTGGCCTGAAGCATAGGATACATTTTAAAAAAAGAGTGACAGTACTCTTTTTAAGTTACCTAAACAGCAGTTCCAAAAAGTAGCCAAACATTTGCAACGGGTTGTCTGAGATTACCCTACAATTAGTTGAAACAACAGTTAAGGGTCCATCTCTCAAATTCCTCACAGACATTCAGACATAATTTTTTCATTTAGGTGCAGCCTGACTTGTTAAACTCTATCCCTTTGGGCAATGGATCCCAGCTGAGGAGAGTGCTTCACCAACCATTTTATCTAAACAGCATAAATAATGGACCTGGAATTAGGATTCCCCAGCTTGCTATGACCATATTCTGGTCCTTTTGAGAGTGGACGTCATGTAATCACAAGTTCTGTGAAAAAGAATTTGGTTTCCACAGCCAGACACACCATAAATGGCTAACAGTATTTCTCCGAAGCTTTTTGACAAGCATTTGCCGTGGCTGAATCTGACCAAACACCACAGAGCAGCATCTTCAATTTAAACTGAAAGCTGCTGACATCGGAGGAAAAAATGGAGTTCATGTATAACGATCTCAAATCGTGTTTGCACAAAATCAAGATTAAAAATCAAGCACGGCCCATAAACTTCCAACTGCTTAACCAACAGGGTCTGCTCATGACTGATGTTCTTATGGACACAAATTAACCTTTCTTTTTGCACATGTCTCTTGGATGTGAGTGTGATGTGAAATAAGAAAAATATTATTTTTATCAGTTGGGTGTTGAGGACAAGAAACACTATTCCTTTTCTTCTAAAACATACAAGAAAACCTGTGTATTCTTTTAACAGTCACAGCACTTGAAAAGTTAAATATTCATTAAATAGCTTGTATATTAATATATGTATCTATTAATATGCGCAACTGAACTACACTGAGATTTGGTCTGACAATCTTAAATTATTTATCACTGGGAGTATTTAGCAAGTGCTGTCCAATTACATTTAATGTCAGATACAGTGTTTTGAGTTTTGCAAGCATAGGCTGGTTAGGTACTATCAGTACTTTGCCTGGTGCGAACAACATGGGCATGTGCTCTTGGCAGATAGCAAGGATATGCAAACATATTATACCTATTTGAACTTAAAGTATGTTACAGCCATTCTCTGGTTCATTCCTCAAAGCAATACATTGACCAAAGGCAACCTTTCTGGTTTAAATTTAAACAGTCTCAGCAATTAGCTGTCGGTCATCATCTAACTAGTGCATGGTCTATGAAACACCTCTACCACAGTCCACTTCCTAACCAATAAACACTTTTCTCCAAATTCAAAACATTGTTTCCCTTTATATTGGTATTTCTTGCGAATATTTTGATGAGTGTAAGACAAAAATGTGTCACAAAATATATTTTTCATCAGCTCAAATACTGTACGATCAAATGTTGATATGTTCAAACATAATATGTTCGAACACAATGTCTCTTACAGTGTTGCTCAAAATGAACATCAATATGGATATGCTGTATGATTATTCAGTCTAAAATTTATAATGCTACTGAAAAAAAACTTTACAGTCAAGGAAGGGTCACTGGATCCGAAACGTTAACTCTGTTTTCTCCTTCACAGATGCTACCAGACCTCACGAGCTTTTCCAGCAACTTTTTTTTCGTTCCTACTTTACAGTCAAACTTCGTTCATGTTCTAAATTCTAGGATTCAACAGCTGGTAAACTTGGTTTATTTAAATGTGAAGAATGGGACACACTGAACTAAATGGACACAAGAGATTCCTTGTAATTTTTCTAGCACTTGTATTTTGTCAATGTGCATATTTCGTTCTGAATAAATAGCCAGTAGAATTTAGAAAATGTGCATTTAGTACTTCCTAATTTATACAACCAAGTAGAAAATAGTTCTTATAATGCTGAAATTTTCCAACATTCAAATTGTTGTGCTAACAAGTGGAATGCTGATTTATCCATAATGAAGTAATTATGTGATAAACTTATTAGGACACTGGAAGCAAACTTTTATTTAATTTAAATAATAAAGGCACATTGGGGTAAAAAAAATCTTAACCACTTACTTTATAGAATCATTGAATTCCTACAGTGTGGAAGCAAGCCATTCGGACCATCAAGTCCAGACTAACCCTCCAAACAGCATCCCACACAGACCCACTTCCGTAACTCTGTAACCCTGTATTTCCCATGGCTAATCCACCTAGCCTGCACATCCCTGGACACTATGGGGAATTAAGCATGGCCGATCCACCTAACCCGTACATCTTTGGACTGTGGGAAGAAACTGGAGCACCCGGAGGAAACCCACGCAGACACAGGGAAATGTGTAAAAACTCCACACAGTTACCTGAGGTTGGAATTGAATCTGGGTCCCTGGCGCTGTGAGGCAGCAGTGCTAAACAGTGACCCACCATGCTGTGCCCTTATTTCTAAACTGCAGTTTTTCCTTCATTTCTAATCAAAGCAACTAAGTCAAACTCCACTGCCTACATGCTGGTCCGAAGCTAGGGACACCCAGATCCCACAATCCAGTCTCCATCACCTCTCCTGATTTACGGCATCCGCAGTTCTTTCGGTTTTTATGTTCCACCACCTCTCACAGTTTGCCACAGGGCTTGTGGCTTCCTCCAAGAAGATGCCTTGTGGGGACTTCTTTTAATATGGGAATGCTGCTGCACATCAACAGTCACACGGTCCTTGACAGAAGGGAGATCCAGTTCAGTGGCAAGGCGACCTTGATGATTGGGGATCTCCCTACTACTGCTGCCTTCATCCACCAGCATAGCCATTGACATCACATGAGTATCTTCTGCTTGAGTTGCATTAGGATTTGTTTTGGATTGCACTTTTTCTGGTTCCTTCTTTCTGACCTTACTGTCATGGGTGACCCTGACAGTGATAGAGAACTCTTGACGGTATTGCTCTCAGGATCAATGGAACCCTCAAGCCCCTTGACTACAGCAAGGCAGCAAACCATGACAAGGTGTCAGCAATGGTCCTCTCTGATGATAATATGACAGAATCCTATGACACCAAGATAGTTTCAAGCAGGGATGAGTCATCGCCCACATCCTTTTCTACAACTTCATCGTCACCATTCTTCATCCTGTCAAGAACAAGTTTCCCAGTAGTGTGGACATTATTTAAACGACGGTAATTTTTCAACCTCAATCGGCTGAAATCCATAAAGAAAATGACACCGATCTCGCTTGTGGAACTTCAGTATGTGGACGACAAAGTCATCTCTGCTCTCTCGGAAGAGAATCTTCAAGTCTCACTTAATGCCTCTGTGGAAGAGCTGGTCTCAACCTCAACATCCAGAAGACTTAAACCCTTTACCAACCTGTCCCAGGTCAAGTCGAGTCCATCGCTCCCACTAAGGTCAACAGAGAAATCCTCTCAAACATGGCACATTTTCATTATCTGGGAAGCTACCTCTCATCTAAGACTGACAGCAATGTGGAGATTCAGCAGCACATCCAATCTGCAAGCGCCACCTTTGGATCCCGAAGGATGAGAATCTTCGACGACTCTGACATCTGTGCTGATACCAAGATCCTTGTGCATGAGGCAGTCATCCTTGCGAATCTTCTATATAACTCTGAAACTTGGACTAATTATAAATGCCATCTCAAGACCCTAAAGAAGTACCAACAGTGCTGTTTGAGACGGATTCTCCACATCAGATGGGAGGGCAGGCAAACTAACATCCGCGTCCCTGAAGCAGTTAACAAGTACCAGCGTTAAGGCTATGATCATCTGAGACCAACTCTGCTGAGCTGGCCATGTGTTTAGAATGCTTGAGTTCTGGCTGCTAAAGCAAATCTTTTCTGTTTAGTTCAAGGAAGGCACTTGGACAAGTGGAGGATAAAGGATATATTTCAAAGACGTCTTGAAGGCTTCTCTCAGGAAATACAACATAGACCCTCATTCAGAAGAAATCAACTTGGATGAAACTCCCATATGAAGGAACACAATTCTTTAAAAGCACTCAGTGGTAACAGGAAGTACAGAAAAGGAACCAGAGAAAAAATGCCAATGATCTCAAGACCAACGACCAATTTCACCTCTCAGAAAAGCCTGCCAAACGTGTGGTCGGAGATGCAGCTCTAGGATCGGGCTCATCAGCCACTCAAGGACCCACAGAACCCATGACCAGTGACATGGAATTTCCTGAATGGACAATTATATTCGGTAACGAGTAATTGCTAACGTCCATGAATTATTCCATACATTTGAAAAATACTTTTCACATTACAGTATGTACAAGCAGAGCACTTGTTGCAGGCAATAAGAAATGTTGAACTTAAGAAGATGTTTTGTTTTAAACAGTCTCCTTTAATTCCAGATAAAATGGGAGTAGTTTGAAGAGGGGTATGTGATCTCCTGTGAAATCAACTCAGAAACAAGTATGTGTAACATGGCTGCTGAGA